AATTTCGAGCAGAAAAATATGAATTTCAATCTAAATTTATATCTTATTAATATGCACCGTTTATATTCAATATATGAATATAAGTATTCCTTATGCCTGTGAATACAATTTAATTGCTTTTAAATAAATGTTATTTCGAATTATCATAAAGCTTATGTACTGTACTTAATATTGATTTTGAATATGCTTGATACTTGCCTTGAATGTGCATCCACAGTTTAGCGAGCTTTCTCATTATGCGTGAGATGTTACCGTTTAATTCTATTTATTTCTAATATTGTAATATTTATCAAACATTTTCTTTTTTCTTGTAATGATCATGTTTTTTATTTTATATTATTATAAATAGACAGATATCTATCTTCATAATCATCAGCTTTATCATGCCCTCATAATTATCCATACTTTTCATCATAATTTCCAGACCAGTCTAGTAAGCAGCTCTCCCTTTAGGGAACGACTTGGAAGCAACCGTCTACCAGAGAAACCACGACCAAGGTTTGAACATGCTTAAATTAATGATTTCAGCATTGCTTTTTGCTAATTTCACTATGTAGTTCGTCACCTTTTTTTATTCCAGTGGACCATGCCAAATTGGTGTTAGACACTTCTTCTGCTTGTCTATATGTAGCACGAGAATTGAATTACAACATTGTTTCAGGAAATACAATATTTTCAAATACTTCATGAAAAACATTGAATTTTTATATCCCTAAATAGCAAATGGTAACTATTTTTTCCACATAGCAAGTATACTCGTCAATAACAGCTAACTGGTTACAAAGTCAATGTAGTAATTCGACAAGTTCTCGAAAATGTTACCTTGCATAATTTCTTTGTGTTTTAATATTATTTATGTTTGATTGTGAAAATACAATTAATTTTCAGTTTAGCATTCATGGTGATAGACAATCCGTTTTATTAAAAATTGTGTGAAAACAATATAGATATAAAAAACATTCTTGTTTATAATATTGTGTTAATAATATGCTTTTATGATAAATTGAATTTTAATTATCTGTATCTGTCATCCATAGTGTTATTCTGTAATTATAATTTGTTTACTTTTACCCTAATATATGAAGTAAGATGGTGATAGAAGTGCTTTACCATAGATATTTGCTTTGTATTTATAATTTGCATTATAAGTATCGTGTGCTTTAATTAATAACAAGCAATATTTTTAATTAATCTCTAGTCTAATATTACTGTTATCTTTGGAAGAGGTTTACGAACAAAACAATTTCAATCTATATGTGCTGAACAAAAAGAAAAGAATTTTGTATACATTCTATACGTTACAGCTTACTTCATCTTTTTTTTGTTACTACTATGAAACAAGTATACAGAGTATCTGCACGATATATTTTGCCAGTGTAGATAAAAGTCAAAATCTTAAAATAAGGCATGATTAAATATATATGCAGAGACTCTACTTAGAGTATATGATTGGTAGTGAGTGTGGGAGTGACGGGGTTCTCTGTACAGGAGAGGCATGTAGTGAATACCGCTGTGGCTGCACGCACGTGCCTCGACACTCCTCGTCACGTGCCAAACAGGTTGGTTCATTCTCTTACCTCTTTTAATATAAATATTTATTTCAAATTTGATTTTTTGTTATTCATATTTGGGTATGTATGTATGTAGATTTTTTTTTCTTAAAAAAAAAAAAAGATTCATAATGAGCCATTTAATTGACATTTGATAATAATTATGAAATAACGTTGACATTTTTTTATTTTTGTTTGTTAAAAGCAATGTTCTAACGTATACATACAAATGAAATTTCTTAATAAACGTAAATCTTTCATATTACATAATGATAAATGATATATAAGAGACTTGTTAGCTTGTTTCTGCAGCAACAATGTACATTGCTTAATCCACTAGGCACTACGCATTTCATTTTTTTCACTTTAATCATATTTTATAAGATATCTGAACAAATTTGTAATATTATTTTATGACATTAGATCAGGGTCGAAGGTAATGGATAGAGGAAGAGTCTCTCCTGCGAGCGAAGCAGTTCTTCCTCTTGCTTTAGAGCAACAACAGCAAGATCATTTTGAAACTAATGAGGATAGGTATATAATTAATATTCCTTATGTGATTTATTTATACCATCTATTAATTAATTATGTATTTTGTAGTGCTAATATGGAATTAACAAAGTTGAAAAGTAATGCTACAAATGCTGAAATTTTGGAAGCTATGAAACATCCACAAACAGGAGTAGGATTTCTTACACAACATCCATCTTTACCGAGTCAAACTTTTGTTAGTGCAGATGCGGTTCAATGGCTAAGTAATAATACAGAAGGTGGTGTTACTGTAGAAAGTGCCATCAATACTATAAAAGTAAGATAATAAATATATAATGTATAAACTTGTATCGATTTTATCCTAACATTATATATACTTTCTTGTAGGGAATGATTCAAGAAACGCTTATTTGTCACGCATCTGGAGATTTTTCTAAACCTTTTATATTAGGATTTTATTTATATCATATAGTTCAGGATAAGGAAAACCAAAAAGGTAAAGTTTCAGAAATGTATTTAATTGAGATAGAATTGAATAATTTCCATTCTGGTTCTATTTTAGCTGCAGATTATTCACCACCTCTGGGCGATCTTCAAAGTTTTGAAAATGAGTGGGTGGAAGTTGAAATGAAAGCTCCCAAAGGTTGGTGTGAACCAACTACTACTACTGCTACTACTACAACTTCTACTACTACTAGTACCACCACTACCACTTTACCAACAATGTCATCTCCTATATCTATACCTAATTATGATACTGTTGATGAATCGAATGTACCACTATTTTTAAGGGACGATTTAGATTTAACAAGTTTCTTGGAGGAGAAGGAATTGAATGGTTGTACTTTTTATATAAATAATATATTCTATTTGTTTATGTTCATATTAAGAACATTTTTAATTAATTATCTCAATCATATAGGTCCACCATATAAACACACGCATCTAGACATTGATATCAATAACAAAAGTGATAGAATAGAGTGGGGACATCTCAGGTATCAATCTGTCTATATGATCGATCATTCTTATGAACTTGTAGTGCAATGGGTAGCTTCATCTGGTAGCATTGTAGCTGATCTTGTAAATATTATATTCATAAATCATTAACTATAATTCTATGATAAATTTATATTATACAACATTATTTTTTATTAAGATATTCATCTGGCAACGTAAAGCTCAAATGTGTGGAATTCAAATGATACCGATTCCAAGTGATTTGTTAGCATTACCATTTACCTTAAAAAGTGATCCTTTAAGAGGTCCTATCTTTATACCACTCGATACAGAATGTCTTATGGCAAATAAACAATTTCTATTTGAAGGTTTGTTAATAAACAATCAAAGATATTGATTACTTAATGTTCTGATATATTCGTTAAAAAAAATATATATATTTTCAGAATTTCGTGAAGATACGTATGCTCAAAGGTTATTCTTATTTCAAGAAGCCATATTACGGAGATTTGGTTTTATACCCTGTTTAGTTGAAAGTTCGGAAAATGATCATCAATATGTTCATATGACTGGGAACGCTTTTATACTTGTACCATCCACCAAAAGTACAAGGCCACGTCAACGTGCTGGTACAAATATAGTAAGACGAAGTACAGGACAAAAAAGATATCCAGTATATCCGGAACAACCAAGTCCACATGAAGCATATATAACGCGTCATGTTAGTGGCAAAAGTAAAGATGATTATAATGTAGATAGACGAGTAAGTATTAATTATTTATTAGTATTACATTAAACATGGGGATATATAAGAAAATATTTGTTTTATTTGAAGATGGGATTTCTTTGGTCATGGAATCACATGATCAGTCGGAAGTGGAGATCATTATCCACTTCAGCCGGTGATGAATTGTTTCAAAAGAAAATTATTCAAGATTTTAAACATTTTTGTTCAAACGGGGATAACAGGTTGAAACAATTTTGGGATTCTTGTTGGGAGTTGAAAGAAAAAAGTTGTACGCGTTTAAAGCAGTAAGAAGAGGCATATAATTAAGTTTTACTAAAAATACAAAAATGTAAAAAAACGAATTTATGGATATATATCGTTTGATTATTTTTAATATGACCACATGACTAGATCTCTCGTACTATTCCAATTATTGCTAAATTAAATAACAAATAATGAATTTTAGCTGTGATTTAAATTTAAGTCTTAAAAAAAAATACGAAAGAAATGGAGTATATTACAATGAAAGTTGAACGTATGAAATAATAAAGCACATATGGTGTTAATTCAATTTCTAAAGAGATAGTTTTTATAAAACAATAATTTTTTTGTATTTTACTGCAAGAATATTGTCTTAATACAATTATCGATTTTATTTCTTACTTTTGTTATAATAATAGATATTTATATACGTATTGTTAAGTGAGATAAACACGTGTTAAATCGTAGAGAAATTTACTTTTTAACGACAGAGTATCGTTTTATATTTATACAAAAACTGAAAAAGTATATTTTATATTTATACAAAAACTGAAAAAGTATAAGTATAAAAATATATGTCATACTTTTTTTATGTGATAAATATTAAACGAATTATAGAATATCTTACGTTATTGCGCTATTTTTTTACAAATTACTTATACTTTAATATTAAGTACGCTGTCGATTTGAACTAAATGTTAAAAAAAAAAAGAACAAGGTACTATATTTCTAACATTATATATATATATATATTATTTGTAATTGTATTTGTAATAAGTAAACGTGGAAAATGTTATAAGGCACTTCTTATAGTAAATATAAAAAGTTTGTGCAAGTTTTTGATGAAATAATTAATATTAAATATAATCAAATTAAAGAGTACGAGCCTAAACAATCGCTGATTGTTAATTAATTATTAAGTGCGACTCTCAGTTTCACTTAATTTTATAAGGCAATTGCAAATATAACGTTTAATTTAATTAATCTCGATAGTGTTTTGCATTATATCTATACAAGTAATAATATAGTAACATTACTTAATATCCTATTCTAGAAGGTGGAGTTGCGAAGTATTTTTTATTTTTCTTAATAAATGTACGACTGAAAGAAAATAGTATGAAAATGAAAAGAAAAAAAGAAATGAAACACTTATAGATAGAGGAAAATAAAAATATAGTCAATTAAAAGATTTCAAACTAACCTGGATGTAAGAGGTGTATGGAAAAATCCACGAGATGCTGTACGTTTCAATAGTGATTCTGTAGATGGTGTATGTCTTAATTCTCCAGTTTTAGGAGTACCAATATTGTTCAAATTTTCAGGATTAACAAAGTTTGCCCAATAATCAGAAGGAATTTTTAATAAGCTCTCCACGATCTGAAAAATGTAATACGAATAATGTTAACAATTTTATACTTTGTAATATAATAATGTAAATATTACTTTTACATACTGCAACTTGATTTTTTGTTTCACTAAGCATAGAAGTAGGAGATGGTTCTAGGGAACTGAAGCCAACTAAAGTTGGACCAAACACTTTAGCGAGATTACTTATTGGCATTTTACATTCAGCACTACTTGATACTCGTTGTAAATGTAATACAAGAAAAGCAAGTGTGTCTCGATTAGGTTGTGGAAGTTCTGAAATTGCTTGATAGAGTGCTGCATCTGCATCTTCTTTATCTGGAATAGTAGTAGCACGAACAAAATCTGCCCAAAGTGCTACAGTGATTAAAGGTTCCCGCAAAGATCTATAATAAAAAGTATCAATTGTTATTCAATGATTATTAAAAATTATTTTATATTATATTAATAAAAAGACAAGAGTAAAATAAAATAAAACCATAAAGAAAAGACATACCTAAGAAAATCTTTTAGTGTAGAACAGATCGTAGGTATATCAATTTCAGAAAGATTAGGGGCACCTTTGCCTCTGAGAAACTTTTCTTTCAAACATTTAACATCCGTTATACCGCCATTTACTCTATATAGTCCTTGTTCACTCATACCTCTCAATTCTACTTCATTAATACAATGAACTATTAATGAAGGCACCATTGGAGGGATCATAGGAGCATAGTCTGCTATAGTACCCTGCAAATAATAGAAGAAAGAAATTTTTGGTTAATTTCATTATTAAAACATATCTTATTTTTCATTTATCTTATACTTACTGAAGTACCACGGAAAGTAGGAGTATTTCCTGTTGGAACACAAGGAAGTGGTACTACATCTTTACATTCTGTATGTGCTGTAGCCTTACAGTCTCTACATTTTACAGCTACTTTACCAAATCGAATTCTAAAATTGTAAAAATAAATTTATAATTTAAGTTATAATTTTAGTATTTATATAATGTTCCAAATTTAAATGAAAAATATCTTACCGTTTTCCACAAGGTGTACACATTTCAGGTTTAATGACTGTTTTTGCTGTGAAACTGTGACCTCTAGAATTTTTAATATTTAAAGTGTATCCACCAATATTTGGACTTGGTTTGAAAGCAGTTTCTGAATCGGAACCCGATGTAAGAATATCTGCTTTTGGTGCTGAAGGCTTTATAAGAAAAAAAAAAATTTATATATATATATATATATATATCAAAAGTATCAAAAGTAATTACTATTAATTAAAAGTAATATTAATATAAGTTAAAAAAGAAATTGACTACATACTGTAGTATCAACAGCTATTTCATTGAGATCTATTTGCGTTAATTTATTTTTACTGCGATCTAAACTTTTGCGTCTTTTACGTGCACTCTGTGTAGGTCCTTGAGGATTAGTAGTTTCATTCATTGGTATAGCTTCGATTACTGAAGAGGCAGTGATTGCACCTTCTTTTGGCACTGTGACAGTAGTAGTAGCTATTATTTTATCAGAAGTATTTAATTCTGTGACTTTTTGCAACGTACTACGACGTTTCTTTGGAGAGTATTCTCCACTTGGTCTATGTTCTTTCCATTCCCTTTTCTTCTGATTTTGTTGAATAATAATGCTTGTATCTAAATCATCCTCTGATTTTGAAAAACAACTAAAGTCACTTAATATAGAACCAGTAGAGTCTAACTCCGTTATTGTGTTGAGTCTAAAAGCGAGGAGATAAATATAGTTCTTCGTAATAGCTTTTTATATCTTTTGTAAAAAGAAGTAAACGTACTTATCATTATGGTGTAAATCTTTAATATGTACATTGCTGTTTCTACCATTTATAGAAGTATTGTTGAGAAATTGTAATTTTTCTCTGGTTTCATCATTCAAGTTTCTTCCACCATCATTAAAAAGAAGATCTCTGACTAAAGCAATCTGTCGTTCCTGTTAAATATTATACATTCAAAAAATTGCTTTATTTTTATATTTATGTAAAGGAAGATCATAATACCAAAGAATGTTTCTCTTCTTCAGCAGCTCTTCGCATCTGTTTTTCCTCATTCAACAAACGTCTAGCATGATTGAGCTTTCTATCAAGACGCGTTGTTTCATGATGAGATTTTTCTAAGGCTATATGAAGCCGTTGACATTCTTGGACAGATGCCAACCATTTCTGTCGCATTTCTTCTTGATTAATAGCAAATTGAAGAAATTCTAAAAGAAAGTAAAAATAATATTAAAAGTATGTTATAAATATTAATAGAAAAAAATATTTGGAACATCTATATTCACCTTCTTCGCAGGATCCATTTATGAGGACGTTTGAACATCTTACTACTTCGTCAAGACTTGCTAATACCGACAGTGATGCAGTCATTTTTAAAAGTCAAAAGGATTCACTTGAAAACTTCTAAATTCTATAATAAACAGCGACCTTTCAAAAACGTTTCTTCCAAGTATTCAAATATTCATCTGTTTTTACTTCACCATGTACACGAACACATACTTGAAGAGATTACATATTTATATTATTTTCAACGTGGATTAATAAATCGGTTTACTTTTTGTAATTACAATGTAAAGCAAAATGAAAGACTTTGCGCTTCACTTTATGAAATTTCTGCACTGAGAATTATCCGTTAATAATGTAAACCGCATTTCAACAGACCTAATCTATAACGATTTAAATTTAACCAATAAGAACAGAGTTTGGTTGTTATTTTTTCTATACAACGGTAGAAGGCACCACCAACCACAGAGAATGTATCGACAGAATAGTTAACTATACGAACGAACGAGATTCAAAAATGTGTGTGTTTCTGATGTAAATTTATTTTCTTTTTATTAAATTGTTTAATTGTTTAGATCTCTTGCTTAGAAATACATTTAGAATAATACGAAGAAATATTTGTTTTATTTATTTTTAATATTAATTATGAGCATAGATCGTAGATTAAAGTTGAACATTTATATCAATCGAATTAGGGATTTTATGATCATAAAATATTTCGCGGGTAATTTGGAGAGAGAGAGAGAGAGAGAGAGAGAGAGAGAGAGAGAGAGGGAGAGAGAGAGAGAGAGAGAAAAGAGAGAGAGAGAGAGAGAGAGAGAGAGATAGTTTATTTAAATGAATATTAAAATAATTGTATTAATATATTAATATTTTTTAATTTATAAAAACATGAAAATAAAACGAAATCAAATTATATTGTATATAGTTTAATTTTCATTATCATAATTATACAAGAGTACTTTTGAATTGCAATATTTATGTATATTTTTTTTATTTTTTGAAACATTTTCGAACGAACGTTTACTGGACACAAATTATGAAACTTTATGACCTGTTGACAAATAAACTGAACAGAACTTTGTAATATCGGAAATTTATCGAATGTATTGGAATTCTTATTCTCTCATGAGACAGAAACATATAGAGAGAGTCGGTGTTCAACGATAGTTTATTGTCGTACGCAATATCGTATTATAGAAAAAGAAAAAGAATGGAATGAACAAATTCGCCAATTTTTTTAATGCACGAAAGATCAAAACTGCGCCCAAGATTTTTTCAAATTGATATCTCGAACGTTAGATTGTAAACGGAACCGAATCTCGAAGGGATTGTTCTTGACAGAAACGATAAGTACTATTTGTGATTAAAGTTTCTATTGAATTATTCAATTTTCGTTATGTTGCTGCTATTTATTATGTCAGTATTTCTAAATATTTCTGATCAATATTTGAAATAAATGGCCAGTATTTATAATGCAATTTTTTTAAATAAACTGTAAGTTAAATAAAATTTATTTCAAAATACTGACCGAATAAATAGAAGTATTCTATTATTGTATTTTGATTCCAGAATAATAATACGTTCGTATAATATGATAGCATACAGTCGAGAATCCAAGAAAAAGAAAAGGGGAAAAAGAAACATTTAGATTTCTTCTTAGCCTTTTGGTCATTATTTATAACTTATTTTGCCTCGAACCTGGCACAAGGCTCGCGTGGGAAATCGTGCAGAAAACTTGAAGAAAGATGCTTCGGTTGCTGAACGCTCAGAGAAGAGAAGCGTAAAGAGGGACCGAGTCAGGCGGAAATCGTTGGGCAATATTTTTATGAAAAATTGCTATGTCGGTCAGAGAGTTGGGAAACGCATTTGGCTCTCTTGCGGTTCAACGCAAGGAGAATCCGATACGAATGGGTGTAATCGAAAACTATACGGATATCACGTAACCCTAACGTTTTTCTTTTTCGTTCGCGAATTTTCCGGGTCTCTTTCACCAAAAAATTACATACATACGTATGTATATATATACCTATGTTCGGATAGACTCTCTCTCTATTTTATCAAGCCAGAAGCGTCGATCAATAATCATTTCGTTATGGACACTACTCAATTTTGTGTTCTTTTTTCCAATTTTACCCTCTATCAGAATATCCCTCTTATTGGTCACCTAGAAAAGATTTGTGGCAGTCGCAAGATGTGTGTCTCCTTCAAAATAAAATAAAGTTCTTTTTAAGACGCTTTTTTGAATAACAAATCCAACGTCTTTTTCTTTATCTTTATATTTCTTCCTCTAACTTCTTCTCTTTCTTTTTTAAATTGTGCTAAAGGAAACGAAAGGTATGCATATAAAAAATTGTTCACTATTCAAGTAATCCGAGTAGATATGCGCTATATTAATGATCGAGCTATGAGTAGAAAAATTTTAGCTTTGTAATCGTGAGGATTGCAGAGAACCTAGCGGTATCGCGACACGGATGAAAGCGACTTGGAGAGTCCGCCGCACGAGAGAGCACTTCGCTTTATTACACTGGATTCGAGCATGCGTTATCTATGCATTTTTATTTTTTTTTTTTTTTCATTTTTTCTCTCTACTTTTCTTTTTTTCTTGTAGTAGATTCGAAATTTTTTCACTGAAAGCCGTATCCGGTGCTTGTCGTCCTGGTTAGCATTGTCCTAGTTATGAGTCTTTCCCGTGAAATAATATTTTTCTTCTCTTTTTTCTCTTGCTCTCTTTCTCTCTCTCTCTCTTTCTTTTTTTTTCACTGTTCATTTCCAATATCAATAGTCGTGGTTTTAAAGGTTTTTATCTAGCTTGGTCTAATAGTCTTATCGCTTAAATTTTCTAATGATAGCTTTCTCTTTACAATGTCCGCTAATCATTCGAAGACGTACAGCCGCAGACCGTAGGAACGCTGGCAAAGAAGCTTATCAGCAGAAAAAAATGAATAAGTGCTTTCAATTGCACACTATTTCTGAATTACTACAATACTTATCGTGCATATTGTCCAGTTTACTTGATACTTTACTAATACAATCTTATAATTTGCAGATTTGCAAGTGTTTGAAGATCTGGAAAAGCACAGCATTAATTAGAATATTTCATTGTTTTATATATTAAGTACATACATAAAAAAAGAACTTGGAAGATTTTCAAATGAATCCAGGCAATATTTTTTAGTATTTTAACGAGCAGACATCTCACAGCTTTCTTCTATCATAATGGTAAACTTCAGTAATTAATATTTTTCATTAGTATATTATTTATACATTGTTTTAATATATTGGTTTTATAATTGTTTAGAGAAATGCACTTTCTTTTTTCATTAACATATACGGTTACATTACGTATACATTAACAATTATTTTAATGCACTAATGCACTTTCCTTATGTTACAGCTAAATGTTACCCTGGAAGTCATCTCTATGCAGGAACATTAAAATAATTACATAAAAATTAAAAGAATACCAAAAGGAGAACGTTATAATGTTAAATTTTATTGATTARGTGGATTATTGATTTTATACACATG